CTGTCGAACTTCAATCTTGAAAATGGAAAGAACACCCTGTCGAACTTCAATCTTGAAAATGGAAAAAACACCGGAAAGAATAGAAACAGTAACCGATGGCCAAAGGAGCAATTGTTAGTGGTGATGTGGGACCCATATAAATGGATTTGGTGCGTTTTTGCCGGGTAGCATGTGACATGGCAAAAATTTTATACATGTCATCACTTTTTTAAGTTTTGCTCTCCACATCATCAAAAAAAATATAAAAAATGCCACCTAAGCAAGGTTAACGGCTCAAATTAACAGAAGGACTAACGGAGTGCATTTCGTATAGTTGAGGGATCAAAAAGTGCAAAAAATTGTTGAAGGATAAAAAATGTTCATTTTTTAAAGTTGAGGGACCAAATTAAGCATTTAACCTAACTATTATGATTGTAAGTTGTGATTTGGAGCTTGGCGTATTTTCTAAGGCTGAGTATTGGGTATGGGTATGTCTAATATTTGTGGGTACTTAACTTGTTTGGGTATGTATTTTACCTATACATGTGAAAAGATGGTTAAATATCAGGTATGAAAAATATATACCTGTTAGGTATTGGATAAGTATTAGGTATGAAGTTCAATATCTGCATAACTAACTTGTATATCTGACCCATATACCTAATTTATATATCTGATCCATGTACCTAACCTATATTCTAGTTTTATATGATTAATTTATAATATAATGTTATGAAATTAAAATGTTTATGGTTTTTTTTTTCTTTTCTTCTTCCAATGAAGATTCAATTGAAAGAAAATCATGTAAATTTTTATTTGTATTTTTTTGTTATTGTATATATAAATTTGTGTATGTGTAAATGTATATGCTCACGTATTTTGTTTTATATATAAACTTGTATTATATGTATGAACTTGTAGTTGTAGTTATATATTAGCTTATGTATTTTTAGTGTAAAATTTAATAAGTATACAATTATACCTGTGGATATACTTGTACCGAATAAGTTGAGTAATGTGTAGAAATTTTCAATACCCAAGTAAGCACTGGATATTGAAATTCTATACTTATCACTATTCAAGTCAAGTACATATATAGGCAAATACTTGACCCATACCTACTCATGCTCACCCCTAGTATTTTCTATTACGAACCCAAAAGAGGCGCCCAGCCAATGGCTTGATGACTCTAATAAGATACTGTTAGTTTAGTGTGTTATAATTTGATTTTGATTAGGTATTATAAAATTAGTTTTTTAAAAATTCAATTTTAAAGTTTGAATGACAAAATTGGAAATTAATTGGGTAAAATGAAATAAATTGGACTTGATTGCAAGGAGCTATAAAACTTTGAAATTGGAAATTGCTTGCAGGTCTAAATTAATGAACTTAGGAGTCATGAGACCAAAACGTTAAGCTTGAGAAACCAGAAGCACTAAAGAAAAAAAAGTTGCCAACAATGTTGCTTCTGCACCCCAACCAAGTACGAAATTAAATGGGTTCATTCGAACTCTCTCTCACAAGCTTCGCAAGCAGCCGTTTCCTTCTATTCGTTTCCAAGTTTCTCTTTTGATTTTTCTTAAAAATTTTGTTAATTTATGTTTAACAAAATAACAATTATTTGAGAAAAAAAAATTTTAGAACTAAA